CCGCTCACGCTGCTGACCTCTCCTCAGGGTTAGACACGTGGGGTCATTTTCATCCCATTCAGGACACATTTATTTACCCAAGAGAAACTCAGCGGCTGTGTGAGGCTTTCTCTTGCTCTCTCTACTTCAAGGGGTGCAGGGGTTGTACCCCTGGCTGCTCTCAAAACACCACCTGGCCCTCCCAGATGCCTGGCACCTCCATTCTATGGGTGCTGTGCCCCTGGACCTTCCCTTGGTCCACAAACCACACAGCTGGAGAGGCACAGGCCTGGGTGTGGCCCTCACGACCCATCTCCACTGCTCTCTTCCTTTGCAGTGAGGGTGGAGAGAGGTGCGGTGGGCAGGAAACCAGTTCTCCTGGTCGTCTCGGATCCCGTCCCCTCTCTGGTCTCACGCCCCCGTGCAGTGTCTTGGCAGCAGCGGGTCGGCAGCCAGGAGCTTTGTCTCCGCAGGGCCACGAGGAGGTGGTTGCGCAGAGCCTGCAGTTTGCCGCTTCCTTTCCGAGTCTGCCCAGTGTATCTCTTTGCATACCCTCCTGTCCCAGCAGCTCTGGAGCCTTCTGTGTGCAGGTCCGTCTTGAGCAGCCGTGTCACATATGTGTAAAATGATCACGGGACGAGAACGGAGAGGCGTTGCAACCCCCTTGCCACGAGGCCTGGGGACCAGGAGCTCTGCCCACCCGGGCTCACCACTGGGACTCAGATTCAGCTGTTGGGTGGCAGGATCCAGAAACTAGTTGTGTTTCTGGGGGAGTAAGGGGGAATAAGGGGATACCAGGTGTCCACCTCAGACAGGCTTCCCTTGTTCATTGTATGTGAACTACAGAGTGATGATATCACATATCACATAGCTTCTGGAAAATTCCTCCACACACTCGTGAGAGGAGAAAAAAGAGGGTAAATGACCTCTTAGTATCACTGTGAACGAAGATTTGATCTCAGAGCTCCCCACCCACCCAAAATGAGTAACAAAGATTTAATTCAATTTCACTCAGGTAAGACTTAAAAATATATATTTTTTCTGCTCTGAGATTCTTCTCAACTTCACTCAGAAGACATACCCTTGAGGGTGGGGAAGTATGCTTTGTACTCAGTTGGTCACAGAAAAGACAGAAAATGGCTCTTTAAATCTGGGCCCTGCTGAAAGCTGCCCATTATCCTCATGGCGCTCTCCTGCCCTTCCAGGAGTGAATACGGCTGAGCCTTTTGTGCAGCTCCCTTGTCACGTGATGTTAAACTGGAACACGTGAGTCGGGGGAAAGGCTGTTCACGGACATCTCAGTTCCCGAGGTTGGTTCATGTAGCGGGAATGGAGGGTGGGCGGGTGTGCAGAGGGGCCAGGCCGCGGTTCTCCGAGCAGGGTCCCGGCTGAAATCGCAGCTCCCGAGGGTGG